TACTGAACATTGACAACATGACTTTTCTAACCATCCTCACATTCTATTGGTCACCTTAACATGACTTCAAATTTAATTTTATGACTCTTTAGCCAATCATAAAACTCGTTTAGTAAAAATTATCCAATACGAACCGTCAATTCTTCAGTCCACGTGGACTAATTCGTAGCGGCATTATTTCTTTGTATTGGTTTTTTTTGACCTTTGAGTTCGCCGAAGCTTCAAGAATTACTATATCGGTTACTTCGACTATACACTGAGTAATTTAATGAATCCCTTGAGTTTACATATTTACTTATGATTTAAAATATTACTTATATGCAGTAATTATGATACAAAGTCCATGCTAGTGTGAATTTGTGATTATCTTAGTCAAAAGCAACTAGTCTGTTACAAACGTAACACAATGGGAAAAAATCAAATTTTATGCGAACTAACGGCTGCCCCGGCTTCGCATGGGTAACATCGACATATGCAAAAACATTAAGGAACCATAAACACAAACCTTCCTCTTGAATAATTCCGTCTACTGATACAAACTGTATGAAAATACGTTTGAATTTATCGCGTTCAGGAGCCTTGGTTTCAAATCAGATTACCTTTCACATCCAGAGGAAAATCGGTGGTATCTCTCTAATTTACTTTCAAAACCGAAACATCCCATTTTTCTCCCGATGTGGAAGTTCTGATTTGAAAATAAGGCCCCAGACAGATAGACGCGGCGGAGAGTTTTTGTTTTATAATATGTAATGATATGGCATGAAAATAAATATAGGCAAGGATTGACGTAGTAAGATATTACCGTTCACAATCTTACAAACTCGCATTAGATAACAACAATAACATACATGAATATTTGTTTACTGAAGATCAAATCTGCGGTATGCAGACGTATGAGAGAAAAACTAAATTGAAAAAATGTTATCCGACCGGGATTCGAAACCGACTCTCCTATTCTCTAGATAGGCGCATTAACCAACTACGCTACGGAGCCACCAAGCCAATCTTGCGTAGGGACTTCCGAACTTTGACAATTATAACGGCCATCTTGTTGAAGCTCTACTGTCAAATTAGTTGTCATTTATTCAGTATGTTTTGCCGAATCACCGTGGACTGATAAAGCTTTCAACAGCACGTGAAAATAATGATTTTTTGTATCAAAATGGGTGTTCGGTTCGAGCACCATACCATCCGCGCGCTTCGCATATTTTACGGTCCCCATAAACGTCCTACTGAGAGGACTATTCGCTATGTGGTGGATACATTTTACTCGATTGATCAACACCCGTACGTCGACGAAACGCAAGATCTGCTAAAAACATCGCCGCTGTCTGTGAAAGTGTGCAGGAGAATCCGAGAGTCGATTTTCTCGTCGCTCACCAGAACTCGGCCTTTTGTAGACCACAACTTGTCGAATTTTGCATCTTGATTTGTGATTATATGATGCACTGTTTGGAACCTTTGGTGTAGTAATGAATATTACTGGAGTTTTTTCCCCAACACCAAATCGTTATTTTTAACACTTCGACACGTGTTTCGATCACCAAGTGATCATCCTCAAAGAGGAAGATTAAAACTAGAAACTAACGCGAAGCTCCTATTTATGCTATATGATATCCCATACAGGTAAACCATCCAGGTGTACCACCCATATAGGTATACCAACCTAAATTGATTTTACAATTTTTCCTTATCTATTATTTTACAATATATGTTCAACTGTTATCGCTGTGTAAATAACAATTTTCATCTATATAAAATGTATTTCACAATATTGCCTATCTAAATTTATTTTTGCAATGTGTCCTTATGTAGTAATCAGTAAACCCAACTATATTATTTTAACAAGCTATATAGTATGCCCTTTGGTTAGGTTGGTATACCTGTATGGGTGGTACACCTGGATGGTTTACCCGTATGGGATATCATATAGCATAAATAAGGTTAGCTTCGCGTTAGTTTCTAGTTTTAATCTTCCTTTTTGAAGATGATAACTTGGTGATCGAAACACGTGTCGAGGTGTTAAAAATAACGATTTGGTGTTGGGGAAAAAACTTCAGTAATATCCAGAAACTGAAGGTGAATGACCATAGACAACGACGTGTTTTCGCTAAATGAGCTCTGAAGCTGTTGGCACACTTTGTTTTATTTAAATTTGAAGATAGGAAGCGCTTAATAATGCCCTATATTACAGACGCTAATGTCTCTTGTAATTATTTCAATTCGGCTTGTTTCATGCATTGAGGTTTATGTTATGAAATCCTGATGATGTTTCTAGATGTGAGTCATTCTAGAATAAAATAAATAAATTTTCAAATGCATAAAGTTCAATTGTTAACTTCATCACAATCAACAAATTTCATTCTCATCGGCCTAATACTACAAGAGCCTGAATTGAAGATGTAAATCGGCAGTCATTCTGCTTGGTGGCTTCGTTAGTGTAGTTGGTTAATGTGCTTGTCAAGAGAATACAGGAGCAGGGTTCGGATCCCGGTTGGGTCACATTTTTTCAATTTAGTTTTTCATTCATATCTCTGCATACCGCAAATTTAATCTCTCCTATTATATTTCAGGCGCTAAAGTCACTTATATTTGTTTACCATTATGACGCATTTAGTGTAAAAACAATTAGAGTTTGGTGTAGTGTCTGAAGAACTTTCGACGTTATTTCATCAATTACATGGAGCTTTTCAGTTAAAAATTATTTATGGTAGTATAAACCTTCCGATCAACGGCGTATCGAACTTTCACGGGACCCGGAATATAATTAACTGCCACCCACTCAAGAGCAGAGAAAAAAAATTGAGTTAATAAATTATATGGAAAAGTCAACTTATACATACTGTCGAACAAATAAAATATGAATTTTATGTACACAAAATAATATGAGTTGTTCGGGATGAACATTTATTTTTCCTTCAATGGGTTCCCCACAACTGGTAGCGATCCGGTGCTGCCTACCTCAATCCGTCACTGCTCATAACGATCTTTATCTTTTAGAAAAATTGAATTTTTATACATGAATTTTTCAGGTATAGTATAAGAATATGTGTTGAGCCTAATGGCGAATGAACAAATATGTACAACGAATTTCATTCGCCATTACGCGAATCAAATTCAAATTTTTACATACATTCATGAATTGGAAAATACATTGAAGACAGGTTGCCAGTCAAGAAGTGGCTGCCAATATTTTTATTTAAAAAAATCAAGCTACTAAAATACTTCATGGAGTAAGAGCCGGGTCAATCCCTCTACGAAACCCTTCATCACTTGGAAGGATCGATTGCAGCTTGAGAAATGGTTCTGAAGCAGATTCTGTGAAACATGTTCTCCCTAATTAATCAGTAGACAGTTGTCCTGAAAATCTTGCGAAAAAAATTGGATTGGATAATTTAGGAAACATTAGCTACATGAATAGCATTTTACAAGTATTGTTCATGACGAGCTTTTAACGATGAACGAGAACAAGAATGTTTTCTACTTATTCACCAAATTAAGACAACTGTTCATGCAGCTGCAGTTTCGTAAGAATGTATCATCTCCATATACGCAAAGTTTCACGGATGCGTATTAAGATTTTTACCTTAGTAAGGTGACCAGAGGAAAGTTGCAACCTCAGCATATGAATTTTTATAAATATTGAGGTAGGTCAAGATCAACAGAAAGTATTGAGAAATTCATTCAGAAACTGATATGGGCAATTTCGGACTGTTTAGACTGATTTGAAGAGTTTAAAATCATCGGAAAAAAAAGACAATCTTTATATTTCAGAACTGACGGTAATTCATTAATGAAAATTATGAACAGTAGTGGACCTAGATTCGATCCTTGTGGTACACCTGATCTAGCTGGAAATGTATCTGAAATTTTTCAGTTATGTTAAACAATGAAAAACCGATTTTGAAGATAATTCTCCGATAGTTCTAATTTTTTTTTCATATTTACTCAATTATTATGAAATTTGTTTTCAGACTTCTTATACTTTATTTGGTTTCCCTATAAAGATAAGCTGAAGAAGTTTTACTTCAGTCGTGTGGTTCAAAGCAGACTGGCTTTTTTCAATTAAAAATATTTGCGGCCACATTTTGACTAGCACCCTGTCGTAAACGTATTCTTCTATTCACAAATGTATGTAAAAATCTGAGTTTGGTTAACTACGCTATGGACGTAGTGATTTTGCAGCGGGGTCCTAAACTAAAACAATTTCGCTCCGATAGGTTTGTTTGGGGTTAAAATGGATACCAATATGTCTTGGCACAATCATGCCGATGCAATTGGAAAGGCTTCTTCTCAAAAGTTTTAATACTGTTCCGAACTAAAAAACTGTGCACAACTCAACAACTTTTGATGCTTCATAGACCTTCTTTCTGATGTATGGAGCTCCGCTCCCAAACATACCCCGAAGCTGCTGGATTCCATCCCGAGAAGAACCATCCGCCTGATTGGAGACGCGAACATCACTTGCAACCTTGATAGCCTGGAACATCAGGGAAAGGATGGGGATCTGCCTCTCTTCCATAGATACTTTCACGGGAATTGTTCAAGTGACTTAGCACATTTGATTCCACCAAGGGCGGTACATATCAGAAATACGCCACGGACTGTGGCTGCTCATCGTTTTGAGGTTCAACTCAGTACACCTTGAACTACTCTGATTAAGAACTCTTTCATTTGGAATAAACTTTCTGAGAACGTTTTTTCAAATGGATTTAATCTCCAGCGATTCAAAAATCGCTACCTTCGCACAGCCACGGCTTTTAGAGCATTTCAAGGATTTTCCTGTAGTGCTTGTATTTTGTCCATGAAAAAAATTAATAAAAAGATCTAGCCGTCTGCCATAAAACTGAGATAAGTCAGTATTTTCTGGTAAAATATGAAATCGAAATTATTTATCAAAAAAAAGAAAGTGAAAAAGCTTACACTGGTATTAATTACTATAAAACAAAATAAATGATAATCAACACTGAAATGGGAACAATTTGAAAAATAAATGGAAATGCCTTATTTCTGTAACATTTATTGACGAAAATATATCAACAGAACAGTATCTAATTCCACTGTTTTCCTTAACTGTTATTCACACTATATCAGGCAGATACACACTCCAGAGAAAATAAGAATACAAACTCTTAAAATAAAAACTGTTTAACAAGTATAATAAAGTGACCCCATGATTCTAGAAATACTGTAACATGATTACCCCTAGGATCTAATGACTTGTACAATGAAATCAACCCATAGGAGTTAGCTGCCCCTGATTAAGTAATTTCTCCACTGCAGCGTTGATATCTCCGAAAGTAGAGATAAGAGCTTGCAAATTGATCTCTCTGTTGAGGAATCCCATAGCAGCCAGTTGCTCCAGCTGTGCCTGGTACCTCTGCTCAGGTGGCAAAGTATTATCTGTGTTTGCTGCCATACTACCCACCATCCTAGACATGAATTCTGAAAACGCGTCTCTAGGCAAACCTGAAGAAGGGTTGCGTGTCCCATCGGCTGGCTCAGTTGGAGCAGTACTGGTACTATTTGGCACTTCCTGGGGAGCTGGAGGCGGAGCAAAGGTATGTATGAGACTAGGCGCGGACTGCCTCAAAGTCTCCATGCCTTGCTGAATCTGCATAATGGCGTCTAAAGCTTGGGGATTCGTCATGAGATTCTGCACTTCAGGATTCTGCATTTGTTGCATAAATTGAGGCATCATGTTCCTCATTTGAGCTTGAAGGACGGGATTATTGGTGATCAATGGGTTCTGAGCAAGCAGCGCGTTTGCTATATTAGGATCAGCCGTCATAGCCTCTAGGACCGATTGAGTGTACGGGGCTTGGAGCATGTTTTGAACTAAGGTCGGATTTTCTGACAACTGCTGCAGCAAACTCGCTAGTGGGGGAGGATTTAGTACTCCGCGAGCAGGAGTAGTTTGTGCACTAGCTTGGAATTGAGCAGCCATTGAGGACAGCATCGGTTCTTGAAGATTCTGGAACATATTCGGGATGGGATTGGTGGCAGGAAGAGGGGAACTAGGATCCAATCCCAATGACCTTTCATGACTTCTCAACAACTCCTGGAGCATTGAGGGATTGCGCGCTAACTCGGCTGTTTGACGAAGGAGCTCCGGATTGTTCAAAGTTTGGCTAATCTCTGGATACCTGTAACGTGAATAGAATATTTCTGATTAGAGGATGACCAGCCAGGATGACAAGTATAAGTACAATCCCTACACTTTAGGTTAGTTCCAGTACGTTATAGGACAGTAATTAGACGGTTTTACATTTTAACGAAGAGCCATACAGTAGAATAGCTTGATTCATTTATGTTTCGGTAGTGGGAAAAACACACTGAACTTTTTTCTATATAAGTTTCACTCCATAGAAGTATAACTTAATCAAACAAATGTGGATTACAGAAAATGACAAAACAAAATAGCATATCAACTTATTGGGTAATAGATTGAACCCAATCGTTTGCAGTCGTTCACAAAAATTTACTTCATATTTCAGAAGTCCAGAATTTTGGTGAGTTAATGCAAAAATGTTTCGAGGAAATTTGTGCAACGTTTTTGAACCAAAGTTAAATAAAAATTAAAAGTAATTGAAGTGGAACGAATTCATCATAATGAAATTATAATAAAAGTTCTATTGAAAAAAATGCGTATTCCTGGTTCATACGAAATTTTCATTTTACCAAAAAATTGTTTTGTTACTTGTGAAATATACATTAAATATTCTAAGAATATTTTGGTCAATTCTATGTTTTACCAGCGATTCATCTAGGTTTGTACGGGTGCAATTTAGAGCTGGAATTTTATCGCAGATATGTTTCAATTCCACGGTTTTTAATACTCATTGAAAGTTAAAAAAAGCTTCGGCTTGAATAATTTGAAAAGATGTACATAATCAATCTTCATTAGGAACATATCCAAACATACAGATATAATCATCTTTTGATTTTTCTCGTGTTTGATTGACTAATATGTACCAAAAGCGGTTAGCTTTTCATAGGTGAAAACATTCTCAAAATCAAATAGTAGTTTCCGAGTTTCGTTAATTACAAACAAATATATAAGAAATCGAATCACTTCTTTTTATATCAGTTTCAATGTCTAAACGGTCACAAACAAAACTGCCACCACGAGTGTTTTTCATGATGGGCTAATTTTAATGGTTTCTCAAGTCTTTTATCTGGGACATATTCTGCAAAAAACAAGTTTCAATTCGAAAATCTATTTTTTCACATCTCACATGATAAATGAGTAAGCATTACGTTCCATTTTGGATTGAGTATTTTTCGGGTTCACACATCGATGACACATCGATGATTCTAAACATATATTAATGAATATCACTGCAATTTTACTACACTGAGCTTTCATTAATGTCGTGTGTGTGAATTTGGACAAACTATAGCCTTCAGGTAAACTAATTTATGTTTTCAACTATGCACCTGTGAATAAATTTTTTATTCCCTTTCAAATATCATTTTTACGGATATATTAAACTGCAACTATAACTGCATTCAGAGATTTGATTGACCTCTGAAATTTTTCTCAATTAGAATGACTGAAATATCCTTTAAGATATATTGAACTTCAACCATTAATTAAAATAGTATGAATATCATTCGATTCTGTACATTATTTTGAACCCCTCAAGTTGTCATCCTGAATAATTTCAATTTTTTCTTAATAACCAGATAAGCCACTCAATTTTTCAGGCAATATAGGAAAGTTTTGTCTAATTTCCACTGAACATAAGCAGAAAATAGGCAAAAGCTATTTTGTCCATCCAATATGTAGTGTTAATTTCCACAAAAAGAATAGGTCATTAATAGAACACATTTTCAAGGAGATAAAAGCGACAAATAAAATAGAACGGTTGTTTAACAATTAGGAAAATATTTTTTGAAAACTGTAGGTACATACGAGGGTGATCTGAAAGGTGTCCGACCTACCAAAGATACAAGACATTTTTTCAGATTTTATTTTTTCAACATAGCCTCGTTTTAACTCTATACACTTCTCCCAGCGATGCTCCCATCTCTGTGACCAGTCCAAATAGAACTCGGCATTGTTCACGAAGGTCTTTGCCCCTTCATTTGACAAAATCTGTCCTTCGAGCGAAATTTTTAGATAAGAGAACAAAAAGAAGTCGCTTGGGACTAGATCTGGTGACTAAGGCGGATGGTCAAGCAGTTCAAACAGTAATTCGTGGATTTTCGCTATGGCAACCGCTCAGGCGTGAGACGGTGTGTTAATCAACAAGTTTTGCTTTCAACTTGTCAAGTAATGATGCGTAGTATTCTTATGTAACCGGTTTTCCTTTTTGAAGATATTCGATTGAAATAATACCACGACTACCCCAAAATCATAGAAAGATTCATTTCTCTTTTCTTCAAAAAACTGTTGCCATCACTTGTCCAGCAGAAAAAAACAGTTTCTGTTTTTTTGGTGTCGCTTCCCTATTTTGAAGTCCACTGTTTGGACTATTTTTGTTTTGGGCGTATAATGCTATATCCCAGTTTCATCTACAGTAATTATTCGTCGACAAAACTCTGATTTGTTGCGCCTTAACTGCGCCAACAGAGCGTTGTTCATTCGAACAAGTTTTTGGTCTAACGTGAGTAAACGCGACACCAAACGCATGGACAGCTTTCTCATGCCTAAAGGTTGATTTATTACATGACAAACTAGTTTTGTGACATGTTCATTACCTCTGCTATCTCTTTGACTTCTGCTGTTGTCTAGTACCATTTGGTGAACTTTGGCGATATTCTCGTCGGTTGCAGTTTCTGAACGTTCCGAACGTTCATAGTCTCCCAAGCTCTTACATCCACGTTTAAATTCAGCTGCCCAAAATTAACTGTGGTAAATAATGGTGCAGAGTCCCCATACACAGAATTCAACTCATCTTTTTTGAGTAACTTTGTTGAGTAACTATCAATAGATGAACAACGAAATTCACTAGTTTTTATTTACAAGTGCTGCTATCTTTATGTTGAGTTCGGGAACTTTTCAGACCACCCAAACTGTTAGACGGATTGGCTGTCCTTGTTCATCTTTCACTGCTTGAACCACTGTGCATGCTGTTTTTGGCGTCTACTTTGACTTGGGATGTGAGGGTTGAGCAAACCGGCCATCGGATGCCTTCTTCCACGTAGCCCAGCTGGATACGGGAATTACAAAATCACTTGTGATTATGTTATTCCCTAACTGAATGGCATCCCAACGATAACTTAATCCTAAGGTGTGTGTAAACTTGGAAAAAAATTCTGGCGCTGAGTCTACAGAGGAGACTCCCTGTAAACTTAGATCAGGAGCGAGTCTGCAGAGAAGATGGATGTTGAGTTTACGACTACCAATGATCTCCCTGTAAATTTAATTCAGGAGCGAGTCTATAGAGGAGATGGATGTCGAGTTTACGACTCCAACTGACCTCCCCGTAAATTTAGATCGGCCCTGTTGGGGACCGAATCAGGTTTTCAGAGTTCGGCAGAGCCGTACTCTCACCATCTGACCTGAAAGACCACTCACCATACAAACTAATCGGCTTCGTTAAGAAGCTGGATTTATTTGGTCGAGTGTGAATAGGTGTAAAAAAAAAACATTTCTGGCCCAATTTCACTGTAACGAAGTGTTCACACAAACGTTTGGTACTGAAATACAATAAACCTGACAACCAAGTCTACACACGTACTCGCAGTTGTCGCTCGAAACTTCAAAGAGAAACAGAAACGGCATTCGTGGCTATTATGGCGCTCTTCCCTTTTTCTAAGCCTTTGCTGTCGAGTTTGTCAAAGCGATATTACATTTTAATGAAACAGGGAGAAAAAAAATAAAAAATGTGAAATGCACTTCACCAGATTCTATGAATCGACATCAAAAGTTGCCTCACAAAAAAACACCTGGAAGTTGCATGCATATACTCGTTACATGAAAGGTTTACAATTACGGGAATAAAGAGGAAATATTAATTGAAGCACGCTTACGTTGATACTTGAACTCTATATAAACATATTTCGGTGTGTACATATGCAAAATACGAAAACCGATACACATACAGTGTGACCCACTAGAAAGCGGGACACCTTCCTAAAATTTGCATCTTTTTCCGATTTAAAAGAACTTTATTTTGAAATGTAGAGCTCAAAAAACTATACTTTGGGACCAGATATCTTTTTTTTTCTGCAAAAACCAAGGTCTCCTTTCAAAAAAGGAGATAAAATCACTCAATATATTGCAGAGGGTATTGATTGTCAGTCTCCGACTGATGTCATCTACACCGATTTTTCTAAAGCGTTCGACAGATTTGATCATAGTATCCTGCTCAACAAGCTTTCAACATTTGGGTTATCCTATGAATTACCTACCCTCTTCAAATCGTATTTTTAAAACCGTGAGCAGTAAGTCCAACTCAATGGCCTCAAGCCTATTGAATATAAAGCCATATCTGGTGTACCACAAGGATCAAATCTAGGACCCCTAATACAGTTCAATATGTCCATTAATGATATCGGAGCTGAGATTGATGTCAATTTCCTTTTATACGCAGATGACTTGAAACTCTATCACAATATAACATGTTCTAATGATTGTGAACGTCTCGCCCTGAATTGAAATCGCGTTGCTACATGGTGTCGGAGAAGAATCTATCTCTCAACATATCCAAATGTAATGTAATTAATGTCTTACTCACTGAAAACGAACTTGAATTTACACAACTACGTCATAAACAAACAAGTTCTGGAGCGTCCTGACACATTCACTGATCTAGGTGTTACTTTTCATTCATCCCTCTCTTTCAATAAATATATTGACACTACTCTAACAGCAGCTTATCGCATGAATGGATTCTAAGTTAGGAATACAAAATACTTCGAAAAAGTTCCAACATTGAAATTACTTTATTCAATTTTTGTTCCATCTAGGCTAGAATATGCATCTGTCGTGTGGAGTTCCTACCATCAGGTTTATATAAATCAACTAGAAGCCCTACAGATACGCTTCCTAAAATATATGTCTTTTAAACTTGAAGGCACGTATCCTACTGTAGGAATACCCTATTATGAATTGCTTGTAACTCACAATCTTTGTAGTCTCGAGGTAAGGCGTAAATATTATTCATTTCTTTTTTATTCAAGATCATAAACAATATCATCACCTGCTCTCAACTGTTACTTTTATCTCAACACTCCGCGTACAAATATAATGAAAAAATCTCCAATTTATACAAAGTGCGATACCTCTAATTCTGTTAGTCATGTCCTAGATATATTCAACTGCCAGATTATACAATTTTTCAAAATCGCCGGGTGTCCACATAACGAAAATTTACCCTAATCGGGCATAATCTGACGTTACTTTTCAATATAGTTTTTGACAGCAGCAATAATAATCAACAATAGTCCTTTGTTTCCAGTGCCAAGTGAAAAGAGCGCGATTTTGCATATCCGCACGGTGTTTCGCGACCAACAAAAACCATTTAAGAGGTGGTGCAGTTAACATTCTATCATGATACAATGTGAATGTTGATTCGACTACAAAATTATCAATATTGAATATGTTTTGATGAAATTTGTTATTATACCACCATTTGAAAGGGTACCCAGTCCAATGGTGATTTTAAATTTTTCTTGGTTTTTGTAGCTCTACAATTCAAAATGAAGTACTTCAAAATCAGAAAAGATGCAAATATAATAATAATAGTAAAAAAATTTCATTCAAATTATACAGTTTTAAAATATAGAAAAGTTCTGAATATGATGGAAAAACTAAATTAACCTTTCGGAGTAAACTTGTATGTGTTGATGAAGAATTTTGTTTCACAAAGGTTAGATATGTTAAAACCGTTTTCGCAACTAACAAAAAATTGAGGCTAGGTTCAATGTTTTAACAAAGAGACAATCCTGGAATATATAAGAAAAATGATATTTATTCGTCCTGAAAAAATAATTGATTTCTGAAGAAAATTCCTTGTATTTTTCAATTGCTTATAATTGTTTTTTATTGTTCCATTAAATAATCAGTCAAGGAATTACTTTTTGATTAAAAGACAAGTGCCCTTTAACAAAAGGAGAATGTATTCAACTATTTATTGAGAAGAAAAAAACAAATCTTATTTGTATTTGATTTTTCAGAAAGTTAACGAAAGAAACTAATGTAAAAATGATCATTTGATGATTCAAATATCAAAAATCAAAATATGGCAAATTTCAACAAGTCTGAATAAGTTGTTGAATGGGCAACTTTCTAGCAATTTGTACCACTCTCGGTGTTCCTATTTTTTCCATACTGACTCTCCTTATACCGGCCACTTTGTATTTTTCCATTTTCGCAATTCTCCTAGTGGCAGTATCACTCTTAATCTTGGTAATTCCCGTAACAGTAAAATTGTGCCAGAATATCACCAATAACCAAAATGCATCAAATCTCACTTACCTTTCGGTCAGCTCCTGCATCTGAGGATTCCTCATCACAAGCGTTCTCATCACTTCTGGATTATTCATGAGTTGTTGTACGAGCGGATTATCCAGCAGATTTCGTAACATATTCGGATTCGAAAGCAGCTCGTTCTGCATCTGATTCTGAATCTCCATGAAGTCGGCCGAACCCATCCCCAACTGGGCGATTCCGGCGAGTCCCCCCAAGCTGCCCAATTGGAATGGGGTGGCACCGATGTCGGCGGGTCGTCGATTGGGATCGGTTTCGAGCGTCCTGGGAGCTGCCCTTATAACGAGATGAATCGTCAGGCCGTCTTTGATGTTATGCTGCGTCATGTTATCGTCGTCGTTCATTATTTTTCCAGCAAAAATCAGACACAGCTGATCAGGCTCTGCGTTGAACTTGGGGCCGATCAGAGCTTTGAAGTCCTTCACCAAGGAATCCTCTTCGATTTCGAAAGTCTCTCGTTCCTGGGCAGTTTTCACGTGCACAGTAATTTTTTTTGCTGGGGGCTTCTCCGGTACTACCTCAGCCGGTTTTTCAGGTTCTTGTTCTGCTGCTACCGGAGGAGCTTGTCCCTGCTCTTGAGCAGGAGCTTGGCCCTGCTCTTGAGCAGGAGCTTGGCCCTGCTCTTGAGCAGGAGCTTCCATTTCTTGATCGTTCATTGCGACTGGAGCATTATCTGAGGCAGGAGGAGCAGGAGAAACTTCAGAAGTAGGATCAGAGGTGGGAGGCTCAGGATGAGACTGTTCCGGTGGTGGTACTGAAGGCGTTTCTAATGACATTTCAGGAATGGTATCACCACTACTAACGGGTACTTCGTCGGCCATTTTGACACGAAACGCTGACGTATTTTGGCTACAGTAAAATCGGCAATGTCACTGTCATCCAATGTCCCTGAAAAGGACGGAAACATGAATTAGATTCTGACAGTTATGGTCTTTTTCAATGATATGTTCGAGGTAAGTTTCATGAAAAAAATTAATGCAATTATTGTTATCTCTAGTGTATTGCAGTATATACAAAACAAACATAAAAATCTCATAATTGACAAAGTATCGATGATCTTTATAATGGGTAGAAAATATCAAAATTAGAAATTTCTCCTCTTAAATTTGAAGTTAAGTTGCACTGTTTACATTTCTATCGAACATATCACTGAAAAGGACCATAATTATAAGCAGGCAAAGACTAGACAATGTCTTTTGCCGAATTTACCGTAGCACAACACAATCAGTTTGAAGGAACCACAATTATAAGCTGGTAAAGATTATACAATGTCACTTGCCGAATTTACAGTTTAAAGTTCAGAAAATTGTAGTATAATCTGAAATCGGAATAAATATGAAATTTATCTAGATCAAAATTGAACTGATTTGAGTAAAGTGTATCAGTTTTCCAGTTAACTTACTGTTATAAATATTTGGAGTTAATGTAGCAACCTTCAACACACTGTATAGTCGAAGTAATCTTCATTGTGAACACTTAAAGCTATCGGCGCCCTCAAAGGCCAAAAAACCAGTACAAAGGGATAAAGCCGCTGCCAGCTAGTCCACGTGGACTGAAGAGTGATAAAATTAAAATGAAGAAAATAGAATATAAACTTTCTATGTTTTTACCACTTTTATTTGTAACCGTATACATTAAAGTTTAATGTATAAGAACATTTTCAAAGTTATACATTAAAGTTTAATGTATAAGTTTGAAAATGTTCTCATACATTGAAGTTTAATGTATAGGTTTGAAAATATCCTTATAGGACGAAACTGCAGTAACGTTAGCTACAAATGAAAGTGGTAAAAAACATAGAAAGTTTCAATTCTTATTTCTTCATTATGACTGATCGCGATTTGAGTGTTGAAATTCGATATTGGTAGTTATAATTATTAAAAATTTTTGTTATCTATTTAAAATGTGGCGTCCTTGGACAAGTACTAATAGCAATATCGAGTGTGATAACAACGCAGACTTTTTCCTGTGTAGTGATTCCAATAGCGCTGGTGAACAATGCGAAGAAGAGATACCAGTGAATAAGATTCAGATGCATTTGAATATTGAAACACACAGATTATGTTTCAGTGTATATAAGAATCTACATCTCAAGTTTGGTTTTTTGAAACTACGTGGAAAAAACTTGAGAACTGCAATGTTGACTATCATAAGAATTTGGAAGCTAATATTTTTGAGGTATAGTTTGAAAACACATTGATCCCAAATTTGGATGCGAATAGTGTCATTCGCGACAGCTCATCAAAGTACCGAATAAAAATTCGAGGAAAGATGAAATACAAAGTTTTTTAATGGATAACAATTTGTATTTCGAAGATAACTATACCAAAAACCAACTACTTAAGTTTAACACACAAAAACATTTGAAAACGTGTATGCCCTTGAGAGTATTGCTGAAAAGTATGGACACACAATACTGAGACTTCCCCCCTATTTTTGTGGTTTCAATCCCATCGAGTTGATTTGGGGAAAATTAAAACAAAGCATCAGGCGTAAAAATAGTTTTCCAAAATTTGATAAGAAGGTAAGAGAGAAGAAGACTGACAGAAAAGTGCCACCGGTAGACAGCTGTTTCAGCCTATTGGGCATCGTCAGTACCGGGCAGGCGGTCCACGATTGAAGACAAAATAAGAAAGTACTTGATAAAAATAGCTGCGTAAACGCAAGCGAAACATAAGTGGAACCATCTATTGGTGTGACCCAAGCCAACTTGCCAAGTTTTTATGTCAGTGTTGGTGGTTTGACCAATCAACTGACAACTGCGGTAGCAGAAATTTGGGAAGCTAACCTGAAATGGATTCGATTTCCGATGGATTATTCGATATACTAATATAACATACATAGTTGTCAGTTTGATAAAAATCAATTTGAAAATTATGGGAGAAACCAATTTATAAGTTTCAAAAATTCTTCTAAATGAAATTTTGAACGATTGTGACAATGGTTGGTTATGGCATTAATCAATGTTTTTCTCGGGTCTGACATTCGAATTAGACCTAGATGTCGCCCCTTTCAGTCTTAACGAATGTTTAAAACTCTTAGCAGGAAATGGGTTAAAACCAAAAAGCCACCTATTTAACTTTTGACGAATCAAGCATTCTGTCTTTCTGCGAAAACAAAGGAAAAGGGAGGAAATCCGGTTTCATCAGGACTGTCTTAAGCGGGTATACACACAAACAGTGTTTGTGGGTGGAATGCAGAGTACTAATGAGGGCAAATTTCAGACGAATATATGCTAGTAAATAAGAGGGAATATTCCCAGCTGGAAGTATTAATAATTGAGAGCCGCACACAAGAACTGCAGTCAAAATTATAAATAACTAGCGGCAGCTTTAAAGCTCAGACTCGTTATGTACGCGAGGCTGAATTTATAAAATGACGCAATATTGGCAAAATAGATTGTATCAAAAACGAGACACGTTGAATTTCATTTTCAAAACGGCATGCACCAATTTTCTTTTAAAAAATTGCTGCAAAAAGAGCTCAATTTTTTGAGCTCACACCTCTGAAGGCGCCGGTTTGAATTATACATGGGAGATCAAATAGCAATTTGTTAACGACTTTTCAAAAGTCCGAAAATGAATTTCCATAGGATTTGATCAACTTTTCAGTATTATAAGGACGTACTACAAAAAGTTTCGATGATGAAAGTTTCTCAAATCGAATAACAAACATACAAAGGGACAAAGTCGGATATTTCAAGATGTTCTAGAACTTCAGATAAATATTTGTTTGTTGACTCTTTCATTTACACTTATTTTGTACAGTACAAAAAACGGTAACTGAAACATTTTTAAGAATAACCTTCTAAATTCAACTGTTTTATAAATGCGAGATGGATTTTTTCAACTTTCACGAGTCTTCTACTGTTAATTACGAGAATACGAGATTTCAATGTTATATCTTGCCCAGAAAATACCCACACTGGACTGTATCAGGAAAAAAAATAAATGCTCCTCCAGAAATTTGTTTGTGGTGTTGTGAAATTAATCGAGTTTTTTCATTTCATTGTGAAACGGATTCGGATTTTCAGTGTATGGATGTTGGTGTCCTACATCAACACGAATTCGATGATTTGCCAAATCAAATTCTTTCAGAGTAATATACCTTAAACAAAGCTGAAGCGGAGGTTAAGCTGAAATTCCTTTCCTTCTATGAGGATTTGGGCCATTCGGATTCGGATATGCGGTTGGTTAGTACCTCGTCTACAGGCAGAGGGGTCGATGACATATATGGTGCTGGTCGTTCGCTTCAGCTTTGTTAGAGGTATTATACTCAACAAGAATTTGATTTTTGATTATGAGATGACATCGACTTCGTGTTGATGTAGGACACTACCTTGCACTGACGAGAGGTCAAATAGCCCGAAACCGGTCTGCGAATGTACCCGTTTCGATATGTGATAATCGATTCTAGTAGTTGCATCGCCAAAAGTATATGCAGGAATTACTTCTGTTAAGAATCCTGCAGTGACACCTGTCGAATATATGTCGAATATATGCAATGCCCTTCGTGGTATTAGTCAGGGGAATAGTTTTATGGCAGGTGTCAGTCCATGAACCTACTATGTAGATAAGGCAAGAGTGGCCTGAACGAATTGTTCCTTTAGATGATTTAAATTTATAGTGAACAATGAATGTACGAAAATCTCTACCAAAACCAAAAATTTGTTTCAATAGCCTACTAAGGGAAAAATTAATTTTGATCCGATTAATTGTAATAAATTGATGGATGTAGCCGTTACTACGTGGTAGGAAATCATAATGAAAAGAGAAATGAAGATTTCAATGTTTTTTACAACATAAAAGTGGTAAAAAACCTAGAACTTTTCATTTTTCTCTTCATTAATTGTAATATTATCTTCCGGATATGCATTAGTCCTGAATTGTTCCAAATTACGAAGTTTCATTAAAGGTTTAGTCCAAATCGCTAGAACGAAAGTCTTGAACAATTATATAAATGTAGGTCATTGTTAAGTATACAGAAAAGTATGATATTTCGGGTTTGTTTGCAACTGAATTATTGGTCAAAAAATAAACTGGATAATGGGAAAGAAACCCATTTTCCCGATTACATATCAACTTCCTTACCGTAATAAAAATTAGTTGAAATGAAAAAAACTAGATACATTTTGCAACAACAAAGACTACTTTCTGGAGGTGCAGTTTTTCATGTATCAGGTCAATGAGGGTAATTTCTGGGTAAGGTATGACATAGAAGTCCTGTATTTATCAAAATTATGAAATTTGAATAGTGTTTCGCTCGAATCGGTAGAGAGAAAGACAAAAAAATGTGAAAAAGTCAAAGTCACAGTAGAGAATTCAAATTTCAAGAAACTGTGTAAAATTTGTTTGTTTTTTTTGAATTTATGGAAATTTCCAAAAAATTTCAAATTTGGTATCAACTTCTGAACAGTAAAGGCGATGATAACTTTCCGTTACGAAGACGCCATCGTGGGATAAACAGAAGACTAAATCTTCGAAAATCAAAGATAAACGAGGCTCCCCAAGGCGGTCAGTTGCGAAGCCAAGCTGACATCTTCGACATCAACCGCCGAATGAGATTAGTCTTCTGTCTGAACAGTGTAAATAATAATAAATAGAATAAGAAGAAAATTATTTTTCAATTCACTTGGTCAGTAAAAAATAAAACTCCTTTACTACAATGTCAACTAATACCCGAATATAGTGTTCGACTGAAAGTTCGGTAACGGTCGAGTTTAGGCGGCAAACCTGCCGAAACTACGACCGAAACTGCATTCGGGAGTTTTCGCGCTGTGATCGGTCATGTTTATTACATAAATATCAAGTATACACCTATTGTGATATTAGATAACAACTTAAAAAAAAGTAATTTCTTGTTAAATATTTTTGAAAAACTATTAATAATGTTCAAAAAAAAAAGAATCTACACCTACTTACTCAAATAAACACCTCACCTATTTTAAGTACTTTTAAGGTGCAAATAATTTTTTTAACAAATAATAAGTGTTATCACTATATAACCATAGCCAATATGAGTAATTAGTCATCAAATTCCTTATGATTATTGGAACAATAATAAATATTTTTCGATATTTAAAGTTCTATTTCATTTGAACAAGTCATCATATTCAAATGTCACGGCAAATTATTCTTTTCATGAGAATACGCCGTCAGAGAAACTCAACAATAAAAAAGAAATTGGCATATTTGTAAGTTACACATCTAGAATATATTGGAAAGAACTGACAAGAAAAAATAACTTCATTGAAAGAACAGATTGAAAGAGCTCAACGTCGCATGCTAGACAAGAAGATCAAATATATTGATTAAAATAACCACTAAGTAATGTTGGACAAATTGAGGCGTATTTGTAATATTTTATACTTTCCGGAAAGACGATTTGTAGCAAACAAGTTGCTAGGATACCTGCAATACGAAAGCATTTTATCGACACGCAATACCGATATCTCTTCGATTTCAGATTACATTTATCATGAATAACAAATAAATATGGAGGGGAACGAAAGTGAGGTTATATTTTCATACAAAGTTAGGAAATAATAACACCAGCTTTGACTGTTAGTCAATAATCGCCAAGATCCAAATAATGGAGGAATTTCCAAATTGACAACTGCAATCATGATAAAACAATTATTTCGATAATATAACGCGTAGGTAATGAATACCGGTATCGACGTTTCCCTGGAAAACATTGCTCTACTCGAGATCGTTTTGTTTTCAAATATGCGAAACTTCAAAATAGTGAATATAGTGAAACAAACTTACCTCGTCAGCTTCTACGACCACAAAACAGATACAAAAACACTTATTATTAGTAAAAACTCCAATGGCGTCAACGCTGATTCATGGAGTTGTTGAAATGCTGAGGTAAGGCGAGGCGCGTACGACGAATAGACTCGTTGAAAGGATGGCTAAGCACAATATATAGTGACGCCATCAGCGGTGCACTTGTAAGGAGTTCACTTCATGTAAATGAAACGATTTCTGTAAGTGTGGGATTAATGTTAGGGCTCGCCAGGACTACAAGCCAAGCCTAGTATTATTCAAAGAAAATCAAATCAACGTCTCAATCAACTCATATTTTGTATAAGTATATGGAATTAATATCTGATTTGTTCAAAGATAAGCCTAATGTCAAGTTTTCAATGAATTTAAAATTTTTCTGACCCCGATTCAGGCCTTAAGAAAGCTTATTCAGCCATTGATTTCTTTCAATGATTCCTGATATCGGTTGAAATTAATATAAATAAAATATATTATGTTTTTGCTACATTATTTGGAATACTAAGGTCGCAATTCAATAATGTTACTATACATTGAAAGTGTTTGAAGATTATAAAATGAGGAAATAAGTGAACATTCCAATAATGAAAACATATGTTGCACTACCTTTGATTTCCGATCTATTTCGACTTTGTTTCCATACCTATTATGATTTCCCTCTGATTTATCTTTCACTCTTTTGAAATCTTTAACCTCTTCATCAAATTTTCAGATCATCGTTCACTCTCCGCGTTACTGAATATGAAATCATCGTCTCCATTTCAATTATTCTTCTATAAAAAAGTGAAATGTAATGTTTCAATCGGTTCTCTCCTTGATCATGTTGGTAAAAAGTATATTCAATTATGAGACGGACACTATTTTTCAGTTTTAACGTATCATTATTTTAGAAATAAACAATATTTGGTCAAAACATATTGAGAGTCTATCATGCCAAAACTATGTTAGTCCGACACTCCTAATGGCTTTGCGGAATATAAATAATTTTTCATGAAAGGATTTGCCGGTCAGGCAATTTTCAACACAATGGTTCAAGTCACAAGTGATCATTGCCATTATTATGTTCACGAATGTTTTGTATCTAGTGAATCATCACAGCTACAGGAAGCAAATAGGCATATGCATTTTTGAGATAAGTCGAATAATTTTATGAATACAAATTCAACAATCCTTTCGATGTATATCATCAGTATTATTCCGATGACAACTTTATCTCGAAGAAGACATGTCATCGCCATCTAGCAGGCAGTATAAAAAAAAGGAGAAATATTTATTTGTTGTCTCCAGAAATCTTAACCATTTTTCAAAGAAATTATTGAATATCAGCAAAGATATCAGTTTCACCTTTAAACGGGAACAGTTAACGCGCAATTTTGAAAATTTCAATTAAAAAATTGAAAAAGATAAATTGGTAAAAAAAAGATCAGCGTGGAAAAATCAGAAACCATGAGAGATGCAAAGTTATTTAAATTAGGAAAGAGTTGTCCATCTTAGAGCTCATTCAAATAAAGTTTCAAAATTCAGGATTTCATTCCTCAATAATGAAACCTTCATGATTCAAATTTACACTAGAAAGTGAAATAGTAAATAGCTTCAACATCAGCTTATGAATTCGAGAATATGATGTTGTGACCTGATGTATATCGAAGTTCGGCACAAATAATCAAACATGAATAAAAACAAAAATGTACACAATTATAGACTATCAAAAGGAATTTAGTTTTCCTTTTGATGTGTATAATCCTTCTCTTTGCTCATCTAGTAGGTAGTGGAAAACAAAAGCCTTGATCGCGTCTCAAATAAATAAAAGTTTTGTGTTTGGAAGAAAGAATATCCATTTTGAATTTGAAGACCATTTTAAAACTTCAATTTAAAAATGGAAATAGATGAAATGACGACTGAACAGAATCTCATTCGAGAACAAAGGGAACTGGAGTTACAGTTCGCCACAGGTATAAATAATCTAATATGTTTTCTTTATTCTAATTATGTTTTTTAGTGAAAAAGAAACTTCAGGACATTGAGGACAAAATGAAAAGAGAAATGCAGAAAAAAATGTATTGCCAGGCAAACATTGATGAATTGATGAGAAATACTGAATATTATTCAAACGCAGCAGTGGTAAGGAATTGAGTTTTTAATTAACTATATGGTTTTTAATCTAGATTCATATTTTTTCCAGAAAATAAGAAGAAGGTTGAAAAATACCAGAAGTGTTCTTTCTCAATTCATCATGGCAGCAAATTGCTACGAAAAATTACTTTCAGATTGCTCCGAAATGTACTTCTTTGACGAACCCGAAACTGAGATGGGTATACATTTTCTTTTATACTATACAATATTTTCAAATTGATTTGTAAGAATATCCATTATGAACTACAAATAATTATTTGTACAAATTGAATGATTCAATTACTTTGATTAGGAAAGAATAATCAACATAAAATAAAATTCGTTCTTCTAAGTGTGCAAAGAGTTGCAATATTTATATAAATTGGTATATCTCTATCCAGGAAGTGTTACTGATTCAAACTTTTTTCATCATTCAAAAAAATTCTTTCTATAACTCAATATAACAATAGCATATCAGATATCCAGCAAATAACTATGGCGTTAACACTGAAATTAGTTTTTGATGGATAGAATACTGACTGAACGAAAGTGTTTAAAAGAAATCGTAGATATATGTTCTATATGCACCATATTAGTTTGAAGAATAATGGAAAAAAGTAGGATTACCTATTAGTTACTTCTGTAAAAACTGGCCAAAACTAATGATGGTTGAAGTTAATCAGAAAGTGATATGGATCATTTAATTTTATTATCACTTCTAAATAGTCACTTCTGTGATGCAGTTGTAGCATAGGCCATTGATGCGTTAGTGGCGCTTATGGCTTATGACATATGATAAATAAATGGTTTGTCAAGTTTAAAATACTGCCTACAACTATATAGTTTGTTCGACCAAAACCAAGTTATTGGATTACCACAAAATTACAACAAATCATCTCTTCTTTATTCATGCTGTCATAGAGTGGTACAACTACATATTAAATATACAATGTACTTAGACAAATGCCACACATTTTGTAGCATTACCAACATATTGTAGCAATAACTTCAAAAAACAGAGCACACAGTAATTTCAGAAGTGAACTGAATGATAAAAGGTACTCGACAGAAATTGAAGTGAATTTTTGCTAGAGTATTTGCAAGCAAAGCAAACTCTAATCCCTATCGATAAATTTCCTGTTGGTTTTATAATTCAGGATTGAATTGTCATTTCGTATATGATATATATGTTAACACTACTAATTATATTATCTCCTTCAGAGGATGCAGCAAAATAAAATTAGTACAGGTCATTCAATATAATTGCTATAATAACCTCCTGAAAAATGGGGTTGCAAAAAAACTACTTACATAAAAATAATTCAAATTGAAACAACCTGAAGTTCATTGAAGGCATATCTTCTCATATTTTATCTATCAAAAACAACAGTTTATTTATCATTTTCACTATAAAAGGGTTTTACAAAAACCGCAACACGTGTTTCGCGTGGAAGCTTTTGTATAGCGAAACACGTGTCGCGGTTTTTCTAAAACCCTTTTATAGAAAAATAATTCAAATTGAAACAACCTGAAGTTCATTGAAGGCATATCTTCTCATATTTTATCTATCAAAAACAACAGTTTATTGTATCATTTTCACTATGAAAGGGTTTTACAAAAACCGCAACACGTGTTTTGCATGGAAGCTTTTTTATAACTTTTGTATCATTTTAATTAATACACAAAGCATATGTTTAAACAATAAACATAAATCAGTACCTGCTTCAAAAGGTTTCTGATTTCAAACACTATTGAAAAATGAACATTTTAGAAAACCTCATCAAAGTCAGAGCCTTCACATGACCATTACTAGATGAGTTCGTTATTTGCTCAACAGATTTTATAAGTTAGGCCAAAGAGAACAATCATATACAATTTTTGTTTGATTCCAGTAAAAAAAAATGATTATTCTGATTTTGAGATTCACACATTCATTCAATCAATGATGAAGGATATCTTGCAAATTTTGTAAGAAACAGCTTCTAATTTCAAAAATATTTTTCTCAATACAAGTTCGCAAAGGTCAGTCTTCAATAAATTCAGAGAAACTTTGATGCCTCTATATGGTAAATGATTTCCAAATGAATTGTGTGAAAATTTGCAGGAATTTTCTGTAGAATGAGCTGAAAAAGATTCTAAAGACCTAATTTGCACAATGAGTTCATGAAAGATTCATTTGCACAATGAGTTCATAAAAGAGTCAGTTATATCAGTGAAATTCCAAGAAGGTTGGCACAATTGTATGGATGCATTTTTTGGTGTGGTTTCCTATTTTCATCTTTTTTTAAGTTGCGCATATGTTGATTTGCCTACTTTCAGATTTTTTCTAGCATTTTTATTGACATTTGTAATAAAACCATTCTGAATTCCTATCAATCTGTGCTTTTTGAAATAGGTACATCACTGATGTTTGGTTTACACAGTTCTTTATTTGATACCCTTCTCAAACGTTTGCTTCACTTCATCTCTAATAAATAAGTTTTCTATTCCTCATTTTTTCTCACATCTCCAGTCGCTGATTTCTTCGCAACTTAATTGTGTATCTAATAGTAACATACTGATCCGAAAAGTTTAATCTACTCAATTTACAATAATCCTATCAAGAGTAGTATAAAACGGAAAATGATCATACCAGATATGCTTTAGAGAAAATTCGTATATGAAATTCAAAACTTTCTCCGCCATTCAATACCGATATGATCTAGAAATAGCGATCTTTCTATGAATAATTATTCCAAAATACCACCTGATTGTCATGAAAATTGATATACTTTTAATATTTTCAGAGAGTAAATTCAATACGACAGAATCTCCAACAGATCTTCAGCAGCAAATTGGCGACATTCAGAGACAAATTAGTGAATATTCTGAAGAAATTGATAAGTTATTCAATTCTCTACAAATTTCAAGTACAGATGCACCTCTATCTGAAAATAATAAATAATAGCATATAGCAAAATTGGATTTATATTTCAAATAATTTCTTTCATATTTATTAATCAGAGTTGATGGAAAATTGTTTTTGTTAATATGTAGTTCTTATTTAAATAAGTATTGTAAATAATAAATAATAAATTGTTCTTTCTGATGAGAAGAGTTTTCATTATCTGAAGGTCAGTAGCCGGGTGGTTAGCGTGAGTGGTTCGTTCTGCAACCTCAATACCCGCTATGTTGGTTTTGCACGTTGAAATGTAAGACCTCGTTAATCATTAGCTCGCACAAATTTCGACTCATGAGCATTGTTGTCGTAAGGGAGCGTCAGCTGGTCAACTGAAAAATTGATTTCAAACATATTATATTCATTTTATGCCAGAGGTCCCTACCTTCTACTTATAAAGTTAAAATGTTCTTTGTCAAGAAAAAATATATGAATTTTCACTATATCTAGCTGCTTTGTTCAATGAATTTTTTATATACAAACTCCCCTTGATATCGCAAATCGAATATTAGAGAATCTTATCCATTCACCAATGAGAAAAATGAAAGCTGTTTTGGATTTAATGATACTCCATGTTTATTATTGAAAGCTGATCTGGATATGCTTGTCGAATCATTCACTTATGTCGTTAACAAACTTTTGTAGAAAAGGTATTTCCAATATATTGAAATTGAGTTGAATTATTCCAGTGATCAAAACCTTGTACCTAATGTATCTATATCCTCAAATCCAGTTTGAAACACCTCTTGAAGTGCATAGTAACTTCCCATATTTTTCTAATTATCAACCCAGTTTCAAAGCCGACAGAGCTTCAAGCAGCACAATTCATCAATTTTAAAAACTATTGCTGAAATATCTTCATGAACATGAAGATTTTTTGTCATTTGATTGTGACAACCATAACAACAAGAACAAATCATTTGAAACAACAGAATGTCTCTTCGAGGTGTCCCAACAGTAATGTGGCAAAGGAAGCAACACCAAAAACTCAAATATGATGGGAGTTTCACAGGGCTCGATTCTGGTGCTATTTTTTGGTGTGTTATTGAAATTGGAAAGTTTGAAATGTAGGGAATTTTGTAACTTGAGCCGATGATACATCACTACTGATATCGATAAACGTGATATAGGTCTCTGCAAAATGAATTGTTCAGTTTAAACTTACTGTATTTCGATACACAGAAAACTAATATTGTTAGATTTAGCACTTATGAAAATAAGTGCGAAAACTTTGACATTATTATCAACAATGAGTGTGTTGACACTAAGCAATCCTTAAAGTTTTTGAGCCTGACAGTCTACGAATCCCTTACATGGAAAGACCATTGCGAATCCCTCGAGTCTAAATTATCCTCCCTCTCATATTTATTTTTCAATCTCGGATCAATTTCAAGTACAAATCAACTAGCTGACTTATATTACATATAAACGGAATCTCATCTTCGTTATGGTGTCAGATTTTGGAGAAACTTAACATCATCAAATGATGTTTCTTGTGCAAAAACGTATTGTCCCTAGAATAGGTCATATGCATATTGATTATGCCACATGCTATTACTATTACTTCATCTACTATCGGAACTAAGCTGTGATGTACACATGCATGAGGCAAAAACATATGAAATTCTCTCAACCTGTTTATTACACGCTCTACATGAATTCTTAATGCTGCTATTCTTTTGGACTGCTTCACCTCATGTTTTGTATTTGCTGTAGACTTGAACACTGAAGAAGGCCGAATAAGGGTACATTTTTTATTTTCTATCAAATGAGACTATCTGCCTCTGTCTGCCATAACAGCTGTGTTTGGAGGTAAACATTCTAGATAGCCACAATTTTCTACTATAATGATGTCAGAAGCCCTTCCACCATATTCTTCTGAAATAAAATTGACCAATCCATCTGGAGTAAGAGAAATATGGTATTTCAGAATATTACATTTCTTATATTGTGACCATGACAGAGACTGGTGGATTGCATTGGACGGTTTTTCAATTTATATTTCTAAGCAATCTATAATTGAAACAACTTTAGAATACCGTGCTCTAAAAGCGATAGGTAAATTTTTAACTATGTCAAATTAACTCCCTCATTTTTTCTGCTAGAACAATTACTGTTTCCGAAAATATTCTACTTATAGTGGCTCTGTGTATAGCCAAATTGTATAGCTAATATGTCAAATGATTCATTTAACTTTATTTTCTTCAAGGTTATTAAAATGTCAATAGTGGGAACTGGGATATTATCACTTAATAGTTTTATCAAATAGTAACTGTCTTTAGGCAGTCCTAACATCATTTTAGGCTCTTTTTCCACAGCGGTCAATGTTGCACTACGCATTACATTTTGAAATTGTCTGTCCTTGTTATCTTGAGACCAACTCGCTTCAGAAGAAGTAGTTTCTTGTTCATACTCACTAGAGATCTGGGCAGTTTTGATAGGTGAAGTTGATGTGTTTTTAACTGGTACTAGAAACGGTGATAATGCTACATTTTTTGTCTTAGGACCAACAGTGACACTTTTGCTTCTATATTTTATTGTCGTTGGCTCCATTGTGTTAACTTTTAAAAAAGGCTTTTATTTTCGGTTGAGAAAACGTGAAGATGAACTAGGACCGGCTTCACATTAATTTATTTTCTCTGGTGATTGTTTTATCTGCTGTATCCACAAGGCCTACACATAAATTAGTTTCTTCCATAACTTCTCTGGGAGCAGCTTCTGATAGAATCTCTTGAAGCAACCTAAGTCTTTGTCTTTTGAGAGCAAAACTGATTTTTCACTACTTTCTATCTTTAATTTATTGAAATTATCAAGTAATACAATATAGAATCAACTATGTTTACTTCTCTGTGCTTTGTATCACTTTATTGACATGTACTTTGACGTCACATATTCCCGCCAAATGGTCGACCATTTGAATTGTCAATATTTGGTATACAATTTTATAATTTTTTTTCTAATTATTCATGTTTTTGGCATTTATTTCATGTTTCCAGTATTTGTATGTATTATATAATCGATTAGAACAATTAGAAAAAAATATGCATGTGACCTATTGTTACCCATCCTATACATACATATTGGATGTTTCTTGCATAAAGAAAAACAAAGATAAATTTCTTACTATCAGTGTTACAATACAATAAAAAGATGATTTATATGTTTCTTCTGCCAGATTATAATTAATTTTCCCTACTATAAAGTATTGAAGATGATGAATGCTCTTCCTTCATCCATGAGGAATTGACAATGAAAAATTTTTCAGAAAATTAATGAAACATTTTTCTACTTCTACATACTATATACACAATGATTTTTTCATTAATGTGTTTTGTAGATAATCCTAGTTCTAAAGTAGTTAGTTGTATGTTTATTAAAGCAAGTCCTAGTTTTCATATAGTTGATGTTGAATTTTTACATTTTGTAAATATTCCTGTCAAGAAATGAAGGCAAATAAATCAAAAAAGGTTCACTATGAGCAACCTTTAAAACATTCTACAAACCTGTGACAACTGAAACCAATCAAACCAGATGAGTTTGATCAACTGACTAAGCAGTCAAAAAGGGTAAGATTTATTATTACATAAAATTACACATTAACTTGAAAACCGATACCGATAAAGTATGTACAAAAATAATAAATTGGGTGAGATTTCCATAGTCAGGTTCTATAACACAAAATACTTCAAATACTTTATATTATATTTACAAGGTTAAAAAACATTAGTAAAATCAATGAACAGTTTTGTGTCAACATAAAGCAGTCCCATATATATCACGGAATTCCTTCTGATTTTGTTACCTTCTCCTTATATGCTTTTTCTATATTATCCATTTCTTCAATTTGACATCTAGTTCGGTCTTGAAAATTTTTCAGCGGGGGTTTGATAGCTTCAGATTCCTTCTTCAACAATTCAATTTCTTTCTTCAGTTCCATTTTCTGCTTCAAAAGGCTGTCTACAATAAAAGGATTGATATCCACTTTACCAGTGATGGGTCTCCTGAAATGCAATCTGAAAATAATATTAATATACAAAAAATATTAAACTGGTAAAAGTCCTCACCATGCTTCATTAGGTGGTGAATTGCGTTCGAGTTCTTTAAGATGGGTCAATTTAACTCCGACTTGATATTCATCCCATAACCGTTGTAAAGGTTGCTTGCAAGCAGAAGAAATTATATTGTTGAGGGATCCAAGAAGCTCTTGTGACGATTTCACTTGAAGAATGGACGTCAAACGTTCTTCACTGTAAATAAAAGTATGCCATTTATTTTTCAATACTATAGCATTGTGTTATATTCATTCAAAGGCTTCAAACTGCTTTACTCTGTAATCAAATCAGTTTTTATGTGCTCTCTTCCTACCTCAGACATTTGACAGAAATATTTAAGGAATTTCAACAAGTTGACTATTGAAACTCAATTCATTACTATAGCCATAACTATAAAAGTACAACTACTTTACTTTACATACTTAACCTTTGAAATGATCTAACAATATTCATTTGTGACACTAACTTGAGTGCCGAGAGAAAATAAAGATTAAAAATACAAAAGTAAGGATGCTATACATAGCCTTCTATACTAGCCTAAGTAAACAGGATTTGAGTTATCAATAAAAAAAAAATCCTTTGTTGACTCTGAACAAACAACTTTTATATGTTGTAAACACCTTCAAATTTCCTGGACTTTCATTCAAGTGTTTCGAATCTGTATTGAAATAGCTCAGTTTTCATAATATTGGGATACGAATTGATACTCACACTTTTTGGGTATGTCTGGTGGATACTTGATATTTAGACACCACAAAGGAATCTTCTTTGGAATTTACCGATAAAACTTTCTTTTGAACCTAAAACTCTCATTCATAATCTAGTATTATCTAACATCATCGATTAATAATTGGATGAGAATTCTTTCCAAATTTCTCCATTCTATTTCCACTCATTCAATTTTGCCCACACCCTACTTTGCCAAATATTCCTCTAAAGTGGATTTTGAACTGTCAAAAAATGGAGTTTCAACATTAATAATTTGAAATCCCTTCTATGCAATCTTTCAAAATAACTCCAATTACTATTAGAACTATATAAATGTATTATTTGAAGAGGATGAAACTCAATGGAATGTATCTCCATCACATTTTCAGTTGATTAAAAAAGAGGTTCACTGATAAAAAATCTGATAATTCCCAAAAGTTTTCTTGATACTTCTATGCATGATCTACACATCTCTGTAAAGAGTTGATTTCGAAATTAATTGCTTTCTTCCTTTCTTTGGAGGATTTCCACATTTTTTGGAATAATGATGGAGATAATTCTGTTCTTGAAAATGAATTGTTTAGTACTCAGGTACTCAGAAAACTATATAAAATGCAAGCCTTAGTAAACACATAATTTCTACTGTCTACTGTCAACTGAAAAACATACTCTCCCTTGAAGTCTTGAAACTGGTATATTTTAGTCTTATTCAGTCAAGTCATCTGCTATGAAATAATTCATTGGGGTGCTACATCCAAGGCACAAGAAATATTCGCCATTCAAGTAAGGTTAATGATGGCGGTACGCCTGGGAGAATTTCATCATGTGGTTGTCAGAATCGAGAGATCATTGGACAACAAAGAATCCACCCTGGGTATATTCATAGATATCGAGGGAGCGTTTGATAAAACAACCTTTCCAACAATTCATTCCTTCATTATCACTGTTCCACACAAAATAAAACCAATAAACAATTGAAGCAAATAGTACATACAACTCTAATGAAGGAAATAATACAATGAAAATGAAAATAAAATATAATGTGTCTCATCTATTTCGGTTTTTTTTGTTGAAGATTTGGACTTTTCAAATAATGATCAACAGCGGTTTCTCTATTTGTTTTTCTTCTAGTTCCGAAAGAGCAATTTTCCACTGGTTCCTGGAGAAGTGGTTCCCTAATTGGTTTTCCCTCTAGTTCCTGCAAGAGCAACTTACTCGATAGGTTTTGTATAAGTTCCTGGGTCCGGAAAAAGCAGTATTTTATGATTCTCCGAAAGAGGGCTTTTCCTATTGTTCTGCCGAAGAGCTGACTTTTTTTGGCGTTTTGTCGATGGTGATACATCATCGGGACCCATTCCATTGATTTCTGGAAGAGCATCTTTTCTATTGGGTTCCGGAAGGGTGGTTCTCCATCCAGTCTTCTGATTGAAGAAAATTTTCAATGATATATTTTTTTTTTAATCTATTGCAGAACTGATACTCACTTTGTCTTCTGCATAACGCTTCCTTTTACTTCCACTAGAATTCGTAATGTCTTTCCCTTTCAACCAAAATGTTTCCGTATCCTTGTTCAACATTGCATTATTCAAACTCTCTTTCTGAGCTTGGGGGCTTCTTCTCGATTCTATTGAGCCATCTTTTGTATGCCCTTTTGCAGAATGATTCTTTTTTCTTTCACTCCATTTCATATTTTCTATCTCTTTTGACCTATATTTTCCCGTATTCTTCTCATTTAACATTCAAACTATCTTATTAACAACTCTTCTTATTTAACATTCAAACTCTCTTCCTGAGCTTGGGGGCATCTCGATCTATGAGAATGTGGTTTTTCTATTGGCCCATCTTTTTTATACACTTCTGCAGAACGATTTCTTTTTCTTTCACTGCATTTCATATTTTCTTTCTCTTTAGACCTATATTTTCCGTATCCTTCTTATTTAACATTGCATTATTTCAACTTTCTTCCTGAGATTGGGGGCCTTGTGACCTATAAGAATGTGTTTTTTCTATTAATACATCTTTTTTAGGTCCTTCTGCATAACAATTTCTTTTCCTTTCACCAGAATTCATATTTCCTTTTCCTCTCGACATACATTTTTCCATATCCATGTTACCCAATATTGAATAAGTATTAATGTAGAAGACGTCACAGTGAAAGGACTGGTTATGAGGGGATGTCCATAGGGGGGGGGTCTTATCACCCCTTCTCTGGAACAGAGTTCTGGATACCCTGACTAATCACCTTAACAAAAATGGATTCTACACAATTGTATACGTAGATGACATAGTTATCTTGCAGACCGGCAAATTTGAAAACACATTGTGCGATAGAGCGCAGGATAGGCTCAAATTAATAAAAACATGGTGTAAGGAACACTCACTGTCGATCAGTTTCAAGAAAACTGAGATGGTCCTTTTCACCAGGAGAAGTTTAACGGGCTTAAAACCTCCCGAAATCTTCAAAAGCAAACTAAACTTCCAGAGTAGAGCAAAAAGAGCATACGTGACTTATGAGCAATGTCGGAGGACAGTAAGACGCGCATGGGATCTTTCACATAGTGTGGTCACCTGGATGACTTGTTTACACATCGCAGGGGCCATGAGAACAACACCAACCGCGGCAATAGAATTAATCACGGGTCTGACCCCTCTTGATCTGTACGTTAAGGAGGTTGCGTTAATGGCCATGGTACGATTGCGCACGGCTGGTGTAAACCTCGAAGTAGGAATGGGTCAATTGAGGCTGGGCCTGTGGCAGGAAGCGCTTACTGCACAACCTCTGCTGCAGGCAACAAGCGATGCAATTGAACCCAGGTTCGTGTTTAATAAACCCTACAAAATACAAATTAAGCAGAACACAGAGTCAGATGCTACAAATGCAATACGCATATATACATACGGCTCAAAAACCAAAGAAGGCTCAGGATGTGGAGTGTACTCCAGATCACTATGCCTAAGGATTGAGTGGGGAACGGGAAGAAATACCAGCGTGGTCCAAACAGAACTGGCTGGTATCTCAATCGCCAAAAAAGAAATAACCAAGAAAGGAATTTCTGGCAAAAACATAACAATCTGCACTAACAGCAGACAAGCCCTATTAGCCTTGAACAGACAACGTATAACCTCAGGGCTAGTTCTAGAGTGTCACCAAGATCTAGCCAAAGCCTCGGTAGATAATAACTTTATCCTGAGGTGGGTTAAAAGGCACGACAGGAGTAAAGGTAATCGCATTACCGACTCTTTAGCCAAGGAAGCGGCTGGATTAAGAATCTTAGGACCCAGTGGCACCTACGGCCTGATGACTTCGACAATTCCGGAACTAGTCAAATGTTACACCCATGCTCAATCCTTGAAGAGATGGGATGGAATCACCTTGGGCGACCCTGGAAAGTTGGCGCCGAAGAAATATCTGGCGATGACCAGGAAAAATCTCCGCTTAACAGTAGGATTTCTGACTGGCCACTGTCAACTAAGGAAACACTTCCATAATATGGGGCTAGTGGACACACCTTTATGTAGGATGTGTGAACAGGAAGATGAAACTGACAGGCATGTCCTATGCGAGTGCCCGGAGTTATCGTCAATAAGAGAGTGTGTGCGAGTCTTGGCCTACACTTGCCGATATAAAGGAGATGTCTCCCAGTGACCTGTTCACCTTCCTGGAAAGGACAGGATGGACGATGACCTAGAAGGAAAACTCCTCGGGAGGATGTACAATGGGTCACATGTGGCCTAAGTGCTGTGGGCTTACACTCACCCTCCCCACTCTATAGATACAGAGAGATACGCCTGGGAAAACACTGCAAAGCACTGTAAACCACTCTTTGTTAAAATTAGTACAATAACTCTACCATGTTTGTTCATATACCACTACATTGTCTATATGAGGAAAAATATTACTAATATTCCTACTTGTGGACACTCTTATGACTATCATACTAGAAATAAATATAAACTACAACAACCATTCACTAGATTATCAGTGTCACAGAAACATCCGGGATATATGGGTGTCAGGCTGTATAATGCTCTTGACGACAATATCAAATCTGCCCCTAGCTTACATTTCTTTAAAGCTAAGTTGAAAAATCATCTTGTGCTGAAAGCACACTACTCTGCTTTTAACATGTTTTCAAGTATAATGGTACTAGCAATTGTAATTAGTGCATACTTTTCTGTTTACAAGTACTATTCTTCTGTTTACAAATACTCCTTTTTGACTCTGATAGCCTAGTTTTAATTTTAATGTTAGGTTGATTTGTGTCTGTCTTTGTTAAGTACATCTGACGTGGTACCTAAGTTAGTATATTACAATGTAGGCTCCTGTATTGTAACTGACCACTTCTTCAACTAATAAATTGATTGATTGATTGAGATTCAATAGTCATATGGATAAAAAACAGGGAGCTTGTGATGTACCAATTATTGAATACCGTAGTGCGATATGGAATCCTACATACTTCACACTCATTGATCGCTTGAACAATATTAAGAAAAAAATCAACGTATTTATATTTAGTATTAGCATTGCACCCGTGCAATATAAATTCTCCCACCAGAAATTCAAGGACATGGTGAAACAATGATGAAAGGATATTTTTGTTTTATGGATGCGCCTTTTTCCTCCGCGGCTGGCGCCCTAGTTGGAATATTTAAAAATCATTCCTTATTGCACATCAACAATATGAAACGAACTTGCATACAAAATTTCAGCCTCCGAAAATATAGCGGTAGAGAAACAGTGATGAAAAGTTGATTTTCCTATGTAAACGCGGCCCTTTTATCTCTAGGGGGCACCCCAGTTGGAATACTCAAAAATCCTTTCTTATTGTACATCTACAATATAAAATGAACCTACATATAAAATTTCAGCCTCCGAAAATATAGCGGTACAGAGTAACAGTGATGAAAAGGTAATTTTCATATGCATACACGCTCCTTTCACCCCAACGGGAGGCGCCTCAGTTGTAATATTAGAAACTCCTTCTTAGTGCGCATCTAAGACCTATAAAGCACCCATATACCAAATTTTATCTTCCTAGGACTTGCCAGTACGGAGGAACAGAGATGAATGGGTGAGTGTTAAGGGAGTGACTTTCGCATTTATAAGTATAGATTAGATAAGGAGATGACTACAGTTTTAGTTACAACGTGTTTCGAGAGATATTATTTTTGTTCTGGTATGGGAAAAGTGTTTTCGCCAAAAATTGCAAGGCATAAATAAATGAATAATCGTTACATTTAGGTCAGTGAAAAGGAGTAGAAGTTCTAAAAATTTCTCATATTAATAAGTTTTTTGAATGTGGCAATATTAATAAATGATTCCTCAGCACAATTGTTTTTCTACTCATTCAATCGACAGCTACGTGGAACGATGGTTCAAATCTCACAGCCTATCAATTCTCACTGCGTATCAGTTAATCCGTGCTCATAGTCGCATGTTATAAGATAAGTTCTCGTTAATCTTCAGCTCGCACAAGTTTCAACTTCTGTGGGTCGCCATTCATAGGGGGACAACAGCTGGTTAACTGATAAACACAACATTTATACTTGTGATGCACTGTTTCGAGCCTTTGGTGTAGTAATGAACATTACTGGAGTTTTTTCCCAACACCAAACAGTTATTTTAATGCCTCGACACGTGTTTCGATCACCAAGTGATCATCTTCAAGAGGAAAATCGAACTGATATTCCTCTTTAAAATGATCACTTGGTGAATGGGAATATATTAAATTTATAAATTGATGGATGAAGCCGTTACTATGTGGCAGGAGATCATCATGAACATAGAGAAATGAAAATTTTTTGTTTTTTAACACTTTTATAAAAAACATAGAAAATTTCATTTCTCATTTTTCATAAAATTTATAGATTTCTTAGAGTAAGAGCATATATATTCGAGGCATCTAGTTTCAAAATCAGATACACAAAATTGTTAATGATACTGACGAAAAATAATTTTTTACATCATGAAAATTCCTTTAAAAGAGCTGTAAATTATCTACAATATTTCTATGGTTTATAAAGGCTTGAAAAAGTATTTGTTTTCATTGAAAAACAGCTATTTTATCAGTTTATTTTGTTTTCTGTGGTTTTAATTGAGTTTGAAACTAGACGCCTTATTTGTCCTTTGTTGATATCTGTAATACTTCAAACAAAATATATTTTTTTGCCAATAGAATCAACTTAGAATTTTTTGACTACATTAATTTCACTATCTCTTGTTTCAAAATTTATTAATACCGATTATGTAGTCTGTCTTGTATATGAAAATTGTTTGTCAATAAAGCAAAGTATTATCAGAATTGCATTATTTTCCCCACATATGAGTAAGTATGTAGGTACCATTGAATTTTTTTTAACAATTTCTTTTCCCAATTAATAATCAACGTTTATACTGAGGAAAAAAATTATAATAAAAAGAGAACATTAGAGAGTTTAACTGATTCACTTAAATACAATATTTATGAAAACTATAAAATATTGATAATAATACTCTTAATAATATAAGTTTATAAAAGGTGATAAAAATAAATGATGATTTTCTAATAATTTAAATATATGTGTTATGTTAGCAAAGTTATCAAGCAGAATATACTTGTTACTTCTTCTGAAGAAAAGGTTAATTTTCAGTTCCAAGCAGACATCCCTCTATTATAACCATAAGTGTCATACCCCTTCTATCACCACCCTCAGAATTTGAATTAGGAAAAGTACTAAGTGTGACATATCATTAAAAATGTAATTATGGTTTTCATTCATGTAACTGTAATGCCATGTAACTTTTCATTCTGGAGACCTCTTTAGTGAAAAACAATTTTTACAAGTAACTCCAGAAATGCTCCAGAATGCCCGATGTTTAAGACTAACTTATACTCATGTATATAGTTAGTGGAGAATCTACTGTGAATTGATGTAGTTTGAAATTATTGAAATCATGCACAGTTTTATATTTTTTGGGTTCATACAATTAACATTTTTTCAATTTCTTTGACTTGTTCACATTCTCTTTCAAATGGAGTAGTTTGATAAACATAACAGTTGTTATTTCTATAAGAGGGGACCAAAATGTAAAGTTACTTAATGAACAGTCACATGAATGAATTACTTACAAATTCAACTTTTAACTATGTTTTGGTACTTTCCCTATTCAAATTCTGAGGGAGGGGAGATATTACAGTCTCAATTATGATAGAAAAATGTCCCCTTGAATTAAAAATCAATCTGTATAAAAAAGAAAAAAGTATAAAAAAGAAAAGTACTGGTCGAAAGATAGATCTTTCTGAAACTATATAGTATAATTGTTCTTCCTCCACCTATTCCAAACATATAACAAAGTGTGTTGTACAAATAATTTTGAAACCATTTGTGTTCAGAACCTCTGATACCTAAATTGAGTAAAATATTCAAGAGAATTCTATAATTTACCTAATCAAACAATTTTACAGATACACAGATACTCATACTTGTGTGAAATTGTATGTTATCTATTATTAACGTGTATCTGATGTTAAAGCTCATGTTCTTATGAATTTATCTCACCAACATAAGTATATTAGGTTGTCCTACTTGAAATTTATAAATACTAATAATCAAATGTTATTTCTGAGAGCAAAGCATAAATATTTCCTTTTCGAGTTTAAATCGATTTGAAATTTTTGAAAAATGTCAAATATAGTACATAACAGTGTATATAACACTGTTTTTAAAATCCATACAGACTTTTTTACAAATTTTTTATAATTTTGATGTTCTTTTCCATCGGCGATTAGCAGAAAGCGAAATCAGGCCGGGACTGGTGCAATATGATAGATAAAACATAATTGCACTAATCCCAACCCAACTCCACATTCCACAATGTTTTGCTAGACCTAATTCAGCAAACAATGGCAGATTTTAGCCCTACATTCATTGCCTAATGATCGAGAACGAAATAAACGTAGGTGTCCAAATGAAGACGAAAAGCCGTTACAAAGAATTTCAACAAAGAACAGAACAGGGCAATGACATTTTCTTACCTGACCCCTGAGGGTATGTCTTCCGCTATCCTGAGTAGACTTTTTAGGCAGTCGTCAGCGTATGAATTTTGCGAAGCCATTGCAGTTTTCCACTTTGTTGTCGATACAGTGAACAATTATCAAACGTATCGAGGACGTTAAGTCGTAAACAAACTTTACAAAACAAATAGAAAACAGGAAACATCTACAACTTTTGAAAAAAGTCGTTGACGAATCTTTGACATTTGACGATTTGATTCGACTTAGATCGTATCGCCATCTGACGACCAATAGTGAAAGATGTACAAGTTTTCATTTTCGACATATGTACATTCAAAAAGATTGGTCTACTCATCGCCAGAGAACCCTCAGAATCGGCATGGATTAATTTCGTCGAAAGGATATCCTAGTTTCTTGAAATTTATTGACAAGCCATCTTGTCATGACGTCGAGAGAAATGCTTTTCCACAAAGAATTGTCAAGAAAAGGAACACTTTTTATTATAGACTTATATTTTTGTCACTGACTCTTTGAACCATTACCAGCTTAGCATAAAACAAAAAGTAATTTTAAATGGTACTCGTAGTTTGGTCATTCTTCAAACCTTCAAGCATTGTATATAGACTAACCCTTTAAGTTTGGTTTGTAGATGTCTCGACATATTTTTGTTTCGTTTATGCAAGAACATATGAGGAATAATAATTTTGTGCATTTAGAAACTTGCGTTTCTAACAACTAAACCATGCCACACCAAAATAATAATTATAGACGTAAAAGGGGCATATAATGTGCGGCAATTGCCCCCATTACTTGTATAATTGTCACCTTTTTCCTAAATGTTTATTTTAGATTATAAATCGACTATATGGTTACTTATCATTTAAAATTTCCCTTCATTATTCACTCCTACATTTTCTTATTAGCCTCTAGGAGCATATCAAAGCTATACACAGTCCTCAGGCCATGTAACGTTGCTGAATCATCTCAAGTTCTGCTAGAAAAAGCCTCTAAAAAAATATTCCAGGTTGGTTTCGGCCTACGATCTTAACATCGTGAATAGATCGCACTACCACTTGCGCCAATTTAACTTTGTTATTAGACCGGCTAAAATGAGCGGTTTACTTTTGTATTCTTCATTTTTCACATATATCAATAAAAAGTCTAGTGGTTTTAGATCAAGTAATCTTGCAGGGATTTTGATTGTTGTAAGAGATGATCAATCACATTTTTTCATAATTCGTTTCTTGAAAACATCGACTTTAATCTCGAAATGACGACTTAAACTTGTAATTTCGAGATTGAAGTCTAAATTTCGAGATTTAAAGTCGTAATTTCCGAAAAACCTCAATTATGATAGAAAAATGTCCCCTTGAATTAAAAATNAAAACAGATAAAAAGAATATGTGGTTCTTCTGCGCTTAAGTATAAGCTCATTAAACTACAATCTTTTCAGTAGTGTGGATATGGACAAATCAGAAAGTAACGGAAAATGTGCGTTCACTGAAAACAAATATTCCTTGTGAATCGTAAATTGTTTGACCTGAAATATTTCCATACTTTTCATCTTAAGAACTCGTGTTTTTTCTCCAACCAACAACTGACAGTTTATTAAAGAGTGAGTTATTCGGGAGACAACAAAAGCTCTTTTATGGCACGACTCTCTATGAAACGACCTTTCTACTTCCTGGTTATAAATTATCTGTCACAAGGCTCGCACCGATAATAACGATTTGGCCGATCCTAAGAATCTCCTTCTCTCTTCGTTGACAACTCTCCTGGCAAATGCAGAATAATGAGCAGAGGAAGGGCGGTAATTGTCTGTGCCTCGAGTGCCGCTCCTTGTTCTTTTAATGGAAGAAAATTGGGCGGAAAACCTCAAGATGTTTCAATATTCAACATATGTATTTGAAAGAGTAAGTATAAGGGTGTATATTTACATGAAATAAAATAAGTAAATCATTTTTTTATGTTAAACGGTTTTATTTAAAAAAAAGATAATAACGTTGTACCTAGATAATGTACTGAAAAATAATTCAAAGGTACTAGGTATCAGTTATCACATCACTCTCCTCAGCAATCTATGGTGCTGATCAGATAAAAAACTAATACAATCGTTGTGCGTAGCGTAACCTGAGTAAATATGTAAAAATACAACGCCCAACGATTTTATGACTTTTTTATCTGACCAGTACCGTAGATTGCTGGGGAGAGTGGTGTGATAGTAAGTAATATAGCTATAGGAGTTCTAGCCCATTCCTTTTTGGACCTCCGATCGGAACCTGGTGGAACACTCAACTCGAGGTAGGTGTGACGTAGTCGTCCCCACTCCTCCACTTTTCGTCATTACCCAGTCGACCAATCAGAAGCTGCCACGCATACAGCGGGAAATTCAAACCAGTAGATGAACAAAGAGCCACGCGTACAAATCCCAAGTTATGTTCAATCTGAATTATTTTTTCATTTATTTAAATTTTAAGTTTTATATTTTTCAAGTTACTTGCAACACACATTTAACTATGAAGTTGTCGAACAAATCTTTGTGAAAAATGTAGTTTGAACTCAATTGATTTCCCAATGTATTTCATCTAATTTTGGAAAAGACTGAAGAATTTCCAAATCGGATGTGGTATTATTTCTTTGAAGGATTTTTCGTGATCAGTAGAATTTAGCACAATTTTGAAGAATTTTATCAGAAAATACTGAAGATTTCAGTGGTAACAACAAACTTCCCAAACCATATTTGGTTCCGACTAAGAGTTTCTGTTCCACATTATTAACTCGTCTAGTTTGTCACTTCACATCGTTTGGGGTCTTTATTTGAGCTGGAAATTTAGATTCCTAAATTTCAATGTTGTATTCGCAATCATCAGTGATTACCTGAATTTATATCTCAATGGAAAAAGAACTTTCAAAAAACATAATGAGTTGCATTTTCAAATTTCCAGTGACTTTAACGTTTACTTCCAGAAGTTTTTCTACAGAAAAGTCTGGTGAAAATACTGAGATATTTGCAACTAGAATAAATTCAACGGTGTCATGGATTTGATACCTAGCAATATTTGGGTTTTATTCGTGTTTGTCAATGGTAATGCAATGAGAATAGCGCCATCTATGTGTTAGGGACAAGACTTTTCAGCCCATGTAGTGGAATTACTCTGTTCACTTTTTTATTTGGAAGGCTTTTATGAAAGACATATTTTTTGAAGATATCCACTGCCCAATAAAATTACTTCATTATTATTTCATGAGACAATGCCAAATAAATTCGTAAGGAGTCTGAAAAAATAAGATAATAAAGTTGGTGACCCTTCTGAGCCTTCGTAGATCAGAGATAAAAGCTACTTTATTAACAATGTAACGTATATGGCCAAACTCCAACGAAGTATTTCAATAAAAGTTATGACACCGTTTTTTGGTCTTGTCTACCGCAATCCCCACATATAACAAGGGGATACTATGAAGAGGTTTTGTCCGGTTTCTATTGGGGATTATCAAACCCGTCGCCGGCAGTTTTTACTGCTTGCGGTCCGAGAATCCCCCATCAAGCTATTATGAAAAATGGATAGAGGCATTCTTGGCAATTTGACAGTATTGCACAAGATGTTTTTCATATATGGGGCATGTTCGATGTAATATTGCACTACTTGAGTTGTTTCCGAGTATCTAAAAACTTTGCGACCTTCTCTCATATTTGAAATTATTTTTTAGCTCATTTTCATGAGAGCCGGTTGTCCCGTCGATATTTGGTAATATTACATTTTCTCGTGAGCCGAGGAAAAATCTACTGGAATAGTGCAAAACAGGTATTAACCTCAAGTTTTCAGTTCACTGAAATTTTCTATTTAATTAAAATGCGCCTACGGCAAATACTTGTTGATATTATTGAAGTTATAACTTTTTTTGGCGCGTTAGGGAAAAAAGATGACAGTAAATTTTTACGATGCGCGCGCACATNCGTGTTCCATATGGCTTTTTGCTATTAATCATTTCTGACATCCACATTTCACTTTCCAAGTACAGTCATGGTGATGTAAAGGGTGTCTGAGGAATGTCTTATAGATGATTTTTCAAGCGGAATAGAGATAGTGAACAGATGATTCTAGGCTGGCATTTCCACCATAATATTTCATTAACATTTCAGACATTTCGTATGCCGTATTTGTTGACATGTCGAAAAAATATGACTGATATACGAAACAAGTCCTGAAAATACTGTTTGTTTGGACAAGTAGACAAAATCTAGAACAAGCCATAGGTGAGTCCTAGAGTCCTGTGTCTAAAACCATGTACCATCTTCGGCCAGACCGTGAGAGTGTTCATTTAAAAAATTATCTGCGTGTTTTTGGCCAGACGCACCGTCATGAAGAAAAATTCATCGGAATTAAGACGAGAGGCGAGGAAGTTTTTGCGAGAGCCACGGGAGTCGGTCATGAGAGGCCGTCGAGACGAGTTCGGGGGGGATTCATCACTCAGCCTTCGAGGCTGAGGATGGTGGTCTGAATAGGGGACTTATTTTTTCAAGCGAATGGTGCGAAATTTGAGGGAAATCAGTAGCGAAATCGTAATAATAATAATAATATTTAGCTACTTTCCAGCCTGCTGACGAAGTGGTAAAAGTGACAGTTCTACCACCCGTTGGCACGGCTGGAGAGGAGGCTCGCACCATACCACCAATGGAGAAGACAATCAGAACACGCAGGGTACTCCACAGAATTAGGCCCATGAAGCCAGAAGAACTGGTTTGTTTGGATGCGGACGTTCATAGTGTTCTAAGAGAAGAGGCTTGCGATTCGGAAGATTGAACGGCGTGTATACAAGATGGAGGCTAAGATCACGTCGGCGAGACAACACGCGTCTCGTATCCAATGTGTAATGGAATACACGGCGGCCAAAAGGCCTTTCAAGCCCGCAGTGCGGCGAATATCCGCCAANGTGTGTGTGTGTGTGTGTGTGTGTGTGTGTGTGTGTGTGTGTGTGTGTGTGTGTGTGTGTGTGTGTGTGTGTGTGTGTGTGTGTGTGTGTGTGTGTGTGTGTGTGTGTGTGTGTGTGTGTGTGTGTGTGTGTGTGTGTGTGTGTGTGTGTGTGTGTGTGTGTGTGTGTGTGTGTGTGTGTGTGTGTGTGTGTGTGTGTGTGTGTGTGTGTGTGTGTGTGTGTGTGTGTGTGTGTGTGTGTGTGTGTGTGTGTGTGTGTGTGTGTGTGTGTGTGTGTGTGTGTGTGTGTGTGTGTGTGTGTGTGTGTGTGTGTGTGTGTGTGTG